ATCTAGCCATAAAAGATGGCCCTACACTAGCCATCAGACGGCCAAATTAACTGTAATAGGCCTTGTTTAAACGGTTGTTTACCGTAGAAAAAAATGTTCCTCTTACTTCGAACCGTCAAATTACCAGAGGCCTTAGAGGATCCAAGAATATTCTTCGTTGCGCATGTGTACTGCCCAGTATCGTTATCATTTAGATTCCTAACATCCAACTCTCCTTCTCTGACCAAATACTTTGCGCCTGACAAAAGTTTTCTGCCGTTCAATCGCCATTCGACACTAGGAGTAGGATTTCCTCCGATCCAGCTCTGCAATAAAACGACACATTATTCCCTTCGTCTCTAGTCTGATCTGCAGATGGCATCATTACCTGTGGAGCAGATATCGATTTTCCAGGGCTCTCAGTTGGTCCCGGCATGCTTTTTGTCCTGGATTCTCTCATATCTTTCTTTTCTCCTCTCGACTTTTTTGGACGAGTCCTACCCGTTTTTCCAGGTCCTCCAGTAGCTCCTGGCATACCTTTTGGCAAAGTCCCTCCCTTGTCTCCCTTTTCTCCTCTCGGTCGTGCAGGACCAGTTATTCCTGATTTTCCAGATTTCACAGTGGTCCCAAGGGACCTTGAGGAGCTTTCTTTCCCTTTGATCCCGTCCTGCCACGTGGTCCCTTTTCACCAGTGAGACCAGGATATCCGGGGGGACCTGCAGGACATACCTTCTCACTTGACTTACAGTACTTGGTGGGTATCAGTTTTTCAATCTGTGTGGTGATTTCTTTTCGCACGTCATGTATAGTGATGGTACGTAGTTGAAGTGCAGTTCGAAACTTGTCTCCGGTTTCTTGGCTTTGCGTTTGTTATTGATTCCCCTGACTCATCTAAGGCTTAGGGAGAATTAAATTCAGGAGAACAGAGATGACAATAAAACATACTCTGTTACTTTGGTGGCTGACCCAAAAATCTTGGCCAGTCTCTCATGGAGTTTAATTTCGTAACATAGGGTTTGCTTCAGTGGGGTTTGGTTTGTTTTTAAAAGAGCTTGTTGATTTAGCTATGTCTTTACTCATTTTTCCCTTTTAGTGGTTTCTCAGTTTCCTTTACTAACTAACTTTGTGTAATTCGACTAGTTAACTACTTAAGTATTGTACTGCACTTGAGTGGTCAGAGTCGGAAGAGTAGAATTCCTGCAATATAGTGCCGTATAAATAAAAATTTGAAATAGCCATACATCTTATGTTATAAACTTGGTTTCGGGATTGTTCTCGATTCTACTGAATTATGCTCGCCTACGGGTGAATAAGAAAACAAGCTATCGATTTCCCTATTCAGACCGGGAGGGCTTGCGAAACTCTTCCTCGCTATTTAAAAAATGAATAACCTCAAAACTGCTTATGCCATAACCACCAATTTGTGCCATTTAACATTCATGGTTGACCACGGTCAAATCGTGGTTATATCACTGTCAAACCATGGTAGACCATTGTTGGAAACCGGTGTTCAACCACGGTGCAACCATGGCTGGCCATGGTCTATCCATGGTCTTCTCGCCGGGGAAACTTAGCGACTTTTCCTAAACAAATATCTGGGAAGTTTAAAGCTCGTCGTGTTGCGTACGTCAACATTGACGTTACAATGGTAACCGAGTCTTGATAGCCATGTTTTTCAAAATTTGTTTTCTCTCCACACCTATAAAAGGGGATTTTTTTTACCTATTGAATTACAGCATTACACTTAATTTAGCCCCCTTTCCTCCTTTCTCTCCCCCCTCTCCCCCCGTTACAGTAGGAGAAAAAAGTCAGGTCTTAAGAATTAATGCGTTAAGTTTCTGAAATCACAGCTGAACTCAGTTAAATTCCAACAGATCCATTCAGATCCGTTCTCTGACCTCTTTACAGTTATGGGGGAGTATTTGCCATGACGAATTTGGACCTACCTAAACAGTTTTCTGAACTTTTCTGTCAGTCGCTTACCTAACTTTATTAAATTCCGTCCAATTACCAAGTTTATACAAAGCCATAAGTACTGTCTTGTAATATTCATGTTTGAAACAGCGTTATTTAAAGCAAATATATTACATGATCATCTTTTGCCTTGCAAATGAGCCGCTTATAACCTCATTATCATCCTAAACTCAATTACAATTAGGATCGAGCAAACTTACCTTCATGATCAACCGTGGTTGTCTGCAATTTCTTTAAAGAATGTCTCGCAGATTCTTCTTTTGGTTTAAGCGTCGTTATTTTATGTTTTTCGGGCGAGCCGTCAGTCTTCACAATGACTTCCAAAGGAAACATTCTAAAACGATTTTCCAGCACAATTAGCCCCTCGTTAGTTGTTTCATTCTTCACCCAGAGAGCTAGACATCCGCAAGTAAAAAGTCGCATTACAGAAAGAAAAGATGGCCTAATTGAAGGGAGAAGATCATGTGCCCGCCGAGATTTAGAGCTCAAGGAATCCATTTTTCAGTCGAGTTCAAATTCTTTTCTCTCAGACACACAGGACGACGGACCATTTGTGGAAAAAAGCCAGAAAAATTTGATCCCGGGATCTACAACAGTATTCATTATCCGGTTTAGTTTTGTTTTGATTTGTTTAATTTGTTGTTTTTTAGCTCCTACTCTCCTGAATTGTTGATCTGGTGATCCTTAAAATAAAATCAGTAGACAAATGTCACGAAAGTAAACTTATACGGCGATGGAGTGGTCATACTGTACTCGTCAAAAACCAAAACAAAGTCTAGCAATCACAATCAACCATTCGGCTGTCGAAGAAAATTCATGTAGCCAGCCCAGATTGCGGTGAACAGGCGGTTTTTTGCGGGGGAAGGAGGGTGTCTGCTAGGATTATGGCTCGGACGACTTACAAGGAGACAGGGGCACGAGAAGTGCAGATACCCAAGGAAACCTTATCTTCCCCCTCCCCTACTTCATCTTTTGGCGCCTTCTTTTTAAAATCATTAAAGATGGGCGACTGCAGGAAAAACTAAATCCCCACTCCACGGCAGGCTAGGCGCTTCAAACGCGGGAAAACACGAATGGCAAAAAAGTTTTCGTTTGGTTTTACTTTTACGGCGCCGTCTGGAGGTATTTGTTTTGCGTTTTATAGCCGTACTGCTAATATGGTTCCGGCTTGAGTTTGTGGCTGATGTAAATAAAAAACTGGCCTTTTATCATTAAAACAAGAAAAATGGTCACATATGGGCTTTTTAAGAGTTTCATCAGATAAGCTTTGCTGGTCAGACTCTACTTTAACTTGGCAGGGAGGGGGTAAAAGAAAGAGAAGAGGCAAGAGGGGTGGGGGAGGGGGCGATTATTCAAGGGAGGCGATTATTTCAAATATTTCCGTCTAAAGGGGGGGATTAATCGAGACACAGCTATTATTCGAGGGAACACTACATTCATGATCATCATCACTTCCTTTTTCCAAATTGGAATACAAGGCAGGAAATCATCCTTCTCCAACAGTCTCTATCCAGGACAACGATTTAGGCTTCAGCCCTATTCATTGCGCTTGTAAAGATGGGTGGATAATTCTCTGCTGAGTGAAAGTGGTATGCGTCTACGAAATATACTTTCTGTGAGACTGAACCTCAGTAAATGTTGGTTCCTCGCTGGCAGCTCCCTTCAGATCGTTGTTTCCCACCCAGCCCTCGTTAATGTGAACCGAAGTAATGTTATATGAGATGTAAGCCGCAGCGCCGAGATCGACCTCCCTTTAGCCTACAAAGCGGTCCTTTTTTCTTTTTGTTGCCCTCAACGCCCCCTCGCCGTTGCCTCCGCTCGCCTGAAACACGCAAACAATTAAGCCTGTTGCAGACTCGGTGAACATCCCTTGCTCTTGTGGAACAAAAGTTGGGTTTTTGGCGTCCTGTTCGAGCATTCGAGTCAGAGAATGAGAAAATCAGAATTCATCGGATAAAAATACATATCACATGTTACTATATAAAAAGACAAGAAACAAGGGCAAAAATACAGTTGTATACGTACAAGTTAACTAAGCCTTCCAAAATTTTTAAAATCTAATATTTATACAGCAGCTTGTCTACAGTTAAAAATTAATCTGTTAAAAAAATCTGTTTTTAACACATTCAGAATTAATATTTATAGCTACTCTTGTGACATTTTTTAAAAGTTTTACTGAGCGGAAAGGTCTGAAACGCTAGTAGGGTAAACTGAAAGACCGTAAACAATTTCAGGGAGCACAATCGCTTTAAAAAGAACGGCCATTTTGCCTTGTGTGTATCCTTTCTTGTGCAGGTTTCCAATTATAATTTTACAATCTGAGCGAATCCTCGCGCGCTGATTGGTCGAGAGCTATAGTCTACGAGAGTATAGACCATGGAAATGACGTAACATGTGTCACGCATTGCCGGTAGTTTAATTGAAAAATAAGGTGTACACGGACGGTGTAATCTTTATCAAGTGAAGAATGATTCTCGTAGTTGTGAACACAATTTATGCAATTGCGTAAGAGAAGCCTGGAAAAAAAATTCAGGACTTCAACGGGATTTGAACCCGTGACCTCGCGATACCGGTACATGCTCTATAAACCAACTAGGCTATGAAGCCACTAATGTCGGGATCAGAGTATTATAAGTTCATATGTTCCCATGAAAGAGTGTGACAAATGTACATGTTTATGAGAAATGAACTGTAAGTTCACTGAAATCAGACTAAAATATTATTTTTTGAGTATTCCTTCCATGGAATGAATATGGCTAAGTGCAGATTGATACTATATAAATATTTTAAACTTGTTTCAAATTTTATTTCATTTTGCTTTTTTTGAGTTCATAGCATTACTACGTTTTTCTCTAGTCGACACAACAAAGACAAACAGAAAGTTATACAGTTGTAAAAGAGAAAAAAGTGTTGAAGGTACACTGTAGTTGGCAAAATGGAGAAAATGTAAACTTTCCTTTGATTCAAATTTGTCTGTTTTTGCACCGCCAAGACATATTAAAGGATCACATTCAACGTTTACGAAGAATAAACTTGAAAACCGTTTTTTAAATGTTAACGGGTTTGATTTTCATCTCAGCACGTTTAGCGGAGTAATTGGGACCCTTCCACTTATCCCACATCACACCTCCCCAAGAGTTGGAGTGTGAGCCTTTATAATAGAAGCCGTTTAGAAAAGCATAGTGACAACTTTTGAACCACCAGCCTCCCTTCCATTGCCGGGCACAAGCGCCTGGACTACCGCTCAGATCTTTGGTGGAGAACTCCATAACACTGTGATACGAGAACGAGTCGCCGGCAGTTCCTAAAAAGATAAATAAACAACGGCATCTTATCTTGTTTCGGGAAAAATAACTAAAAGTTAAAAATTGATGCGTGCAGGTTTCGAGGACGTAATTAAAACGGGGAACGGGCAAAGAACACGAAGGTTAACGGGAAAGTTGAAAATGGAAACAAAGCCTCTACTCCATTACCTATTCCCTCTCTTTTCCACGTTAATGTAACTCCCAAGTTTTAAGGAGAAAATACTGTGATTAGAAAAAAGAATTAAACACAGCAAATTAATGAAGTGAGAAATAGAAACAAACTAAAAATGATCTAATATGTAAATGTTAAATGTAAACCCTGTTTATAGTGGATGCACACTTAGCTGATCTCCACGCTCACAAATAATGGATCGCAAACATATAATCACATCACATCACGCACCACATCACCTTACCTCGGATTTACAGTGTAGCTCTTGAAGCTAACATCTAAACAAAACCGGCGTAACATGGTTCAAAAACAGCAAATGGCAGAGGGCAATTCACAAAGCATGGCCGAGACTGTCGATAAAGCCCGAGGGTTACTCCCTATAATGGCCTATACGGGGAGGCTCCGCCCGAAAGGGGTATCTTTTCCAGGCTTCAGGTATATCAAAGGGTAGGGATTTTACTCGTTGAAGTATACGAAAGGGTAGGAAAATCTGTCATGTGGGTCTGTAAAATGGTCCAAAGGGCTAACAGAAGGTATGTGAAAGAGGCACCATTCGTCAGCAGAAGGTATGCGGAAGGGGTACCTTTTTCGTAAAAAAATGGTTTATAGCCTGTAAACGGGCTCTCTGTTTGGGGGAAGAGTGAAAAAAATCCCGAGGAAAAGGTTACCCTTTCCCTTCCCTCTCTTCGCGGGTTTACATTTAGCCTGTTCACAGGCTAAATAGTATATAAAAGGGTAAGGGCTTGGACTTCGAGGCGGAACCTCGCCGTACAAACATTTGTTGAGTAACCTTCCCCCTCCCCCCCTGAGCGACAAACAACTCCAGATAACAAAGGGGGACGCAAACCTGGGTTTCCCGTATTGCAAGGTGTCAAATGTGGGCTGAAGAAAGAAACGTGACATGAAGAGATCCGTATGAGAAGAGGATTAACTGTACTTACGATGACTTCGCACCTTCTGAACGTTCAATGAATCGACCTTGCAAGTAAGGTAAACTTTTGCTTCCCATCAATGTACTGACTTAATCAAGATTTGTTTTATGAAGGTGCCCCCATCCAGTCTATTCCCCTCAAAGCACTAACCTGCATACGTTCCAAGAGTTAGCCTGTATTTATTTCCTTCGTCAGCAACACCAAACAAGTCGTACTCAGCGTAAGCTGTTTGTCCGTTAAAATCCTCTAGTTCCACACGAAGCTTGCTTCGTTCTTTCGTCAGACGGTGAACCTTATCTAGTCCAAGCCAAAATTCCTCGCTTAGATTCCCGAAGCCTTGTTTGTAGTCTCTCCAATCGCGATCGAAGTCAACTGAGCCGTCAAGTCTTTTCTGAAACACTGCCCAACCCCCACCTGCTGTTGTTTGATCACAATACACATCAAAGGCACCGGCATTATCGGGGTCGACGCGGTAAACACCACTTATTCGTTGACCTGCTTTGTAATGTTCGGCACAGCTTTTGTCAACTGAAATTAAAGTAGTGTTGGAAAATATGCTTAGGAGTAAATTGAAAGAACAACATGCTCTGCCTAGTAAAAATTGCTTTCCCTAAAAGCCTACGTAGAAGGAATCCTAAGGATAATTTTTCGCAAACATGGCCTACCGTATGTGATTGGGAAACCACAAAGAATTCACCATAAAATAGCCTCATCAAAAAATGTAGTCAGTAAAAATGTCACAGAAAATTGTTCTTGGCAAATTGTAATTGGCTTGTCGGTGTTTAATGGTCGGTAGAAAAATAATTCTCACTGCATTTGCGACAAAATCACAAAAAATGATACCCGAAACACTGTCAATTGAAGCGTAAACAAAATGACTGGCTCAAAACTAGTCGTGCAGAAGAATATATATCTTTAAGCTTCCTTAATATTTACCAAATCAGTGGATAGTAATCTTCGCGCGTTCTGATTGACCCCCGTAACTTGGAATGTCCTTGAATATTCACTCTTTTGGGACGGGATCATAAAATGGCTTCTCGTTTCGCGATAGTTTCGAAAAATGAAATTTTAGCGGTAAATGAAGCAGCTGCACCAACAAATACCAAGAAAGAGACAAAATTTGACTTGTTGGTGTTTACTGGTCGGTAGAAAAAAAACTTCTCACTGAATTTGCGACAAAATCATAAATTGTCAATTGAAACGTAATCAAACTCTTAACTAAATGGCGTCTTTTCTTTACAAAAAGTTACTTTTCTTATCTTTATCCAACTGATTTGGTAAATACTAAAACAACTATCCCCCTCAAGGTCGGTGAACAGCGCTAGATATATACCTCGACGCTTCACATCTCGGTATTCCACACCACTATTCACCTCCCTTTCGGGGGATAGTTGATTAATATTTTTACTCCTCGTGACACTGGGGTAGGCATAACGTGCGCGACGATATACAAACCTGATGGTGCTCGTTCCACAATCAAGTTCATCGTGGCCTTTTTTGTTCCCATACTGTTCGTTGCTACGCATTGGTACAAACCGCTGTCTACTGGACGTAAATTCGTGATAGTGAGATTTCCTTCCTTAACTTCGGTCTTTCCAACAGGTAAAGGGGATTCAAGTCTGATCCAGGTCAGCTTGGGAGGTGGATAACCTTCTGCCCGGCAGGTTTCTTGTATTGCAGTGGATTCCACTTTTGAGACGAGTGATGAGGGTACTTTAGTAAAGATCGGAAGACCTAACAGACGGAGAAAATTTTATTTGGCTGAAAAAAGTAAATGGTTATTTAATTTTGCCAATTTTAACTTCTTAACTACACTGAATAATATCAACGGCTTTCACCTTAGATGAAACATCCGGGTGAATTGCTCGTGTCCAAACCACTACTTCTCTGTCTAATTCGTGAAGCGAGATGCGGGCTGTGTGCTAACTCTTTTTAATTTATTAACCCAAAACGACCACTCTGATTGGTCAAATGACCGCACATGTCTTTCTACTGTCTCCAACGGCAACTCTGGGAAATCCTGTCATACCCCAGGGGGTAATCCCTATAAATAGGAGCCGGGCTTCCCGTAGTCTCGTCTTACTTTAGAAGGTAAATGACATTAGGCAAATGGTGTTTTTAGAAAGAAACGTCCCATATTTTAAACCATATACATGACGTACAGATGTCGCCGAGGGCTGTTTGTGAAGAAATGTAGAAAACTTGAAGCCGACGATTTATCGGCTCTTAAGTGAGAAAGCAAGAGAAGAAAAGAAGACGAAAATGAAAATCACTGAAAGCAATGAAAGCAATCACTGAAATCAACTTCTTTTATCCAAGTAAAAAACTATAACTCCTAATTTGATGTCTTGTGAAATAAACCTTTGGTCACGAGGAATTTAGAGTGGTCTCCTTGGGGGTTGAATTCTAGCCGTTTATGACGAGCATCAGTGTTCTTTTTACTTGGAAGTTGCCCCCTGGATTTCATGTCCCGTTTCCTTTACAAATGACAATTTCCCGTTGCAAATGTAACTATTGCTGGTTTTCAGTGTCACACCATTCAAAAAAGATCAAAATAAAAATCAAAACTGTTCAAAAGATAAAGTCCAGAATCTTGGAAATGAAAGGAGGTAAATATGTAAAGACCATCGCCAAGACTCAGATCAAAGGAATATTTCGTATACGAGATATCCGAAGAAATGTTTTACCCAAAGTTATAGAGATTTGTATGGAGACGCCATGCTGGCGCTCACCTGGATGAGCTCCAACATGGCGGACGGAAACCAACAGAAACATCTGTTACCGAGTTTTGCTATAAAAGCATGAATTCATTCTTCGAGAACCTCATAAACATTAAAGTAATACTTTTCCTAATACGTGAACTGTTTAGATAGCAAAGTTCCCTGAAATAAATCATTTTTTTACCCTACATGGCAGCTCTGTCGGCCGTCATGTAAATGCCGCTTTACGCAAAAGCTTAGAAATTCAAGCGTACTCTATCACAAAACTAAGAACCCTTTTAAAGCGAAAATTTGTATGAAAATTAGTTTTCAGTTGCTCTAATGTAACGTGAAAGTAAAATCTCGGTAGGATCGATAGTTTCGTAGTTTGAATTTTAGTGATGTCATGTGAAAACACCTGATATATCAAGAACCCTTAATATAAAATATGTTAAGCGAGAAAAGTAGCCAGCCATGAAACATGACAACTTCGTTCCCAGGGCTTCTCAATTAAAAAAAAAAAAAAAGGGAAAAGCCCTAGGGACGAGGTTGGAGACATGACCCTACTGTTGTTGTTAATATGGGAAAATTCCGATGGCCCGTTAGCTTGTCTTGTTTACCGGTTTCTTTTTAGCATTAGTTTTTCTTCTTACCTCGAACCTTCAAATCACCAGACGCCTCAGACGATCCAAGAATGTTTCTTGCACATTTGTACTGCCCAGCATCGCTGTAATTCAAATTCCTGACGATCAGCTCTCCTTTTTTAACCAAATACTTTGCTCCTGACAGAAGCTTTCTGCCCTTGAATCGCCATTCAACACTAGGAGTAGGGTTTCCTCCAACCGTACAATAAATCGCCGTATTTCCTCATTCATCTCTAGTGTGATTTGCAGGTGATAGGATCACTTGTGGAGCAGATATCGATTCTCCAGGCCTCCAAGGTGGTCCTGGATTTCCTGGTTCGCCTTTGTCACCCTTTTCTCCTCTAGATCCTGGAAGTCCAGCCATTCCTGATTTTCCAGGTGGTCCAAAGCTACCTGGGTTACCTCTCTTTCCCCTAGGTCCCCTCCTGCCACGTGGTCCTTGTGCACCAATGGGACCAGGTAGCCCGGCGGGACCTGTTGGACATACCTTCTCACTTGACTTACAGTACTTGGTGGGCATAAGTTGTGCAAACTGTTTGCTGATTTCTTTTTGCACGTCATGTATACTGATGGTAGCTGAAGTGACATTCAAAACTTGTCTCCGGTTTCTTGGCTTTGCGCTTGTTCTTGATTTTCCAGACTCATCTATGGCCAAGGGAAAATCAGTTTTGGGACTGAAACGTACTTGTATTAGGGCCATTTATAAGAGGAAAATTAAGACGCGTCTAAAATAAGACGCGAACTGTACCATTTATACGAGCATGTCTTATCTAAGACGAGAGAAGCTCGTGTAAATGGTTCGAGTCTTATTTCTGTTCTTGGTTCGTTTTTATGTGAATGCTGCCCGTAGCAACGGCAATCCAACGTGGCGCGCCAAAAATTAACGCATGCGTACTATGCGTTCGCGTCTTATATAAGACACGAAGGTCATTTATACGAAGTTTTTCTCGTCTTAACTAAGAACAGGTGTCAAGGGCTGTTCTAAAATAAGACGCGTCTTAGCTAAGCCGCGCCTTATGTTAGACGAAATGTGCCGTTTATACGGAAAGTTCGCGTCTTATTTAAGACGCGTCTTATGTAAGACGCGTCTTATTTTTCCTCGTATAAATGGTGCTTTAAAGTTCTCATGTAAGAACCCTTTTAATTTTTATTTGCGCATCTTAACTCTGTTACTTTGGTTACTGATATGGCCAGCACTAGCTTTAGAAGGTTTGCTTCAGTGGGGTTTGTTTTTAAAACAGCTTTTTCAGGGTATATATAATTTTTATTCCCATTTCAGTAAAGTGCAAAATAACACAGGAAATTAAGTTCCCGCTTAATGCTCATGATTGACAGTTTTACATAAAAGTCTCCGGATGTTAAAATTGGCGGGGGTTCCGTTGGAAAAATAATGTTTGTGGTGATTTGATTCGCATTTTGTTGAATGAATTTTCATGGATTTTAAAGCGGAAATTTATTATAGGAAAAAACACAGCTGATAAGTTTAAGCGTAGCTTGTTTTGAGTTGCCATTTTTCGTGTTGTTTCATTGTTTATCCCTTTGAGGTTTCTCACCTTTCTTAAAGTACAATTAAAACACTTTATGAGAACGCAATGGTATCAAAAGCATTGTACTGCCCTTTCGAGGTCCTAGTTAGCCAAGCTAAAGCCCTGCTATACAGCTCGCCAATAAAACTGTTTTTTGGTTATATTTACACAATATATATCTGTGACTGTGAGTGTGACTGTGATTGTATCAGCTTTCAGCTACTGGCATGTGGGATAAGACTTTCTCTGCATGGAATTTTATTCCGCATTCGCAGACTCTTTCTGTAACTTCCACATTTCTAGTTCAAATTATGCGGAAATTAAAACTATAAAAATTAACATGTACCCCTTTTTCCTTTATCATCGCATGATGAGTTATAAATATAAATTTTCAAAAACAGAAACTTTAATTTATCTTGAAGCTATTGGCCCTTCCTTGTAAAGGTGCAATCACCTGAATTTAATTTCCGTTGCGGCTATCCTTTTACAACGGCAAAAGTAAAATATTGTATCATAGAATGGAAGTACTTAACGGTACGTTGACCCCCGATAGCTCGAACCAAAATCGATTTCCCCTGGATTTCCTTCATTCATTTACTGTAATTTTACCCTCGGTAACCCGAAACTTCGATAAGTCGAATCTGCCGATTTTTGTTTCCCCTCAGATAATTTCTATATAATTTTACCCTCGATAACTCGAACTATGTTTTGAGCGCTTAAAGGGGCTATGTCAGCTGGAGAGCATGCGCTCTGAGGTTATGTAAATTACTTTCAACTGTCAAAATTCTATTGTTTTTAACGCGTGACTTTCTCCATGTGCGCTCTGAGGTTATGCAAATTACTTTCAACTGTCAAGATTCTATTGTTTTGAATTAACGCGTGACTTTCTTCATGTTCTCTGTCACGTCCAAGGTTCCGAATTTAGAGAGGTTAACAAGCGAAATGGGTTTGGATAAGGGATATTTCGATAGAATTTATGGAACGTTTCTTCTCTGGTTATGCTAGATCAAGAATAAAATTGTGACGACAATTTTACTTGTAGTTTTGAAGTAAAAACGCACGCCATTCATAAAATAGAGCGCAAACAAAAATTCAACAACAACATATTGTCTTATTCAACAAAATAACTGGAAGTTGTATTTTACAAACGAGCTACAAAAGACGCTAGACCGAAGATAAAGACCAAGACTGTTTCAAATCATTAACAATTAGACTTCTCTGTCGCTACTGATTTTATAATTTAGATGCTGATAGAACAAGAGACCAAGTCTTTGTTTTGATCTTAGGGAAACATACATTATCGCGCAAAATTGTTCGATCGTGCCGAATCACTGCGACGTCGAGAAAAACAGAACCCAGCATCATTGGTATACTACTCCACTATAAGCAGTCCGTTGATAAAAAGGGAAAGTAAACTCTGCTATTTTGCAAAATTATGCTCGAACACAAACAGTTCAAAAACATGGCATTTACAGGATCTAACTCGTACTAAGGTGCCTCTCTAAGTCCGTTGAGAACAATCTGGACGAGCAAACGGTCGTGTTTATCTTTGCCGTGAATCGACATAAATACAAGAAGGAATCTAGCCGAATTTTAGAATGTTTCCTTCGCGAGGAGTTTAGTTGCGTCACGAAACTCATGGCCTGATGCTCTTGTAATCGTTTACAAAAAACGGCCGCCGCCAACTCGATAGCCGCTTCATTATATGTCCACATACTTTGAGCACAAGAAAAATCCAAGAGCCAGCAGCCTCTAAGTCCTGTGAACTATAGGGAAGATTCCATCAAAGATTCCATCACTCATTGTGGAGTAGCCGTCATTAACTCTGCCATTACAACGGTCGCTGATAAGAGGACACAGTAAATCCACGTAAAAACATTCCACAGGCAAACAATTTTAAAATAACGCCAAAAAATTGTTCTGTAATCACCATAGAACGATTCTTAATACAAAACTTCGCTAACTATCGAACGATGGCTGAGATTTAGACAGATAAAAACAGCCTTCCAAAATCTCCGACACAACTTGAAAAAGTTGGGCCGTCTTTTTCAAGTTTGTTTTCATTGGCTCGCGCATGCGTGTTGGGTAACATAGCCCCATTTAAAAAGTAGGGAAAAACAGTGTACTGGCTTCCGAAACATTGAATTTTGAAGTCCCTTAACGTGTTGTAGGCACATAGTTTACTAGTGGAGGCTGATGCTCTTTGTCACAAATCTAACGTGAATCAGCTTTACTTCTCAAAACAGTAAAACGCATGCTCTATTTAGGCTATGCTTTGTTACGTTACGTTCTTATTTATAGCGTAAAAGTACCTTTCAATTTTCACTTAACATAAAATGTGATTAAAATGTTCACTGTGTACAGTACAACTGTTTTTACCTTACTTCCGGGTATTTTCTTCCAGCTCCTGATAACTCGAACTTTTTTCGATTTCCCTTGAAGGTTCGAGTTATCAGTTGTCGACGTGTTGTTTAGGTAGAGTAGTGGAGGGTATTTATACTAAACAAAAATGAACCAAAAGTTTTTGCGTCCTTCGAGTCTCACGTTTAGTGTGTAACCTGTAAAACTCTAAAACAGGACAGATTTTAACTATTAAAGTGAACGTACTGTGGAATATTGTTATTATGCCTTGCCCTTCCCCCCTTAGTCTGAAAAACGGTTCTCAACAGTCACATCATAAAAGAACATATACGAAATTTCTGGTTCTCGCAAGCACAAAATTAAAAAAAAAAAGGAAATATCCTCCCCCCCCCCCCCCGAGCTTAAAATATTGAGGGACTGAAAATGTTTTTGTACTGTCTTGATCCTAACCTGAAGTATCGTCGAACTTCATTTCTCTCTGAATTTTTCTTAAGAGATGTCTCGCAAATTCCTCTTTTGGCTTTAGCGTCGTTCTTTGAACACTGTTTTCCGTTGAACGGCCATTCTTAACAAGAACTTCCAGTGGGAACATGTTGATGCGAGTTTCCAGCGCGGTGAGTCGCCCGTTGGTTGTTTCATTCTTCATCCAGAGACATCCACAACCAAAAAGTAGCACCACTGAAAGAAAAGATGGCCTAATTGAAGAGAGAAAATCAAGGAGTCGATGGGACTTCAACGAGTTAACCGAAGCCATTTTCATGCAGTGCAACTTCACGATCGTTTGCTCTCAAAGACCTCAGACACACAGGAAGACAAAAGGTAAAGGAAAATTGCTAGAATAATTTGATCCTGTAAATTCCAGCCTAGATAAACAGAGGTGTAAATTAATTGGATATCTTTGTTACACAAGGAAGCATTTTACAATTCCTCAATTCAAGGATTTCCTGAAGTCCTACGCCTGTTCTAGTGTCATATCAAGATGCCCATGGAATTATTCTCAATGTATTCTGCCAGTTGCTTTAATTTTTTCACAGTCTCCCTCTCTGAGTTGTTTTTTATTGTCGTTTGAAAGGAAATAGACAAATTCTTATTCGTCCTTCATAACACATGCGCTTAGTACTCCACAAGGTCAATAAAAAATAGCCTTTGTGTATGTTTACGCAGATGAGCAAATTTCACACAACCAAGGCTAGTTCTCGAATTCAGTGCAAGTTTGCGACGGTTTACAGAAATAAAAGGGTTGAAAAAAGTATACATGCACAGAAAGTGTCAATAGAAAGAATATCGTTTACAAACGAGGCTTAGTGGTATAGGGTATAGTTTCCGTAAGGACCGTTGACTGACCAGAATAATTACTCTTGAAAATGTAGGTGGTATCAGTGGGGCAACCTTCATGAAAACTTTCCCAATTTTAGAGAAAAATAACTCATTTTACTCGCAGAACCAATTCCCTACATCAGAAACTCTAGGGAGAACGGGTACAAGTCTTTGGCGCAGTAATTTTTGGTGCAGTGATTTTTGGGTTTTCTTGGTGGACAAAAAATGCCTTTGCTTAAGTTCCCAAGTAATAGTCCCAGAAGACTTTGCGAAAGTTAACTCGGCCCAGTTTCTTCTCGCTTCTTAAGTGCCGATTTCACAGTGATATGGGCATCCCTGCGCTTTGGCGATCCCCATTCCCAAAACCCTAGTGATATAGACATTCCCTATAACCCTAACCCTAACCCAAATCGCTAAGGTAATATGAGAAGGGGATGCCCATATTACTAGGGTTTTCGGAATGGGGAGGCCAAAAACGCCAGGGTGCCCATATCAATGTGACACCGGATTGCTACCACAGAAAGGAAAGCGTGACTTAAACGAAGAACAACCTTGTACCGTTGTTGTTGTTGTTGTTTTTATACCAACTGAAGTTAAAGAGGTGTACTCCTCAAACTGTTGTCCTGCAACTTGTTATTTATCTAAAATAAGCAGAAACCCCAGGTTGACACTAACTGGTATATTGAACTTACCTCCAGTACGATATAAACACGATTAAGATGATGTAGTACAACTTTGACTTCTTTTAGCAAGGCATTAAACAAAATTAATAAATATAACTCTTTGTCGTCGATGGCATATTCGCTATGTCATCTGTTTACAACAGGTGATATCTAAACACTGATCATGAATAAGTAAAGATATCAGTATTTATTTTGAGTATCTCTTTTTACAAGACTTGCTTTGGCACTTTGCACCACCCTTTTTCTAGTAACAATGAAGTGATATTTTCAGCATAACAGTTAACTGTTGGCAAGGAGAGGGAGAAATTTTTCCTTAATCATTTCCCTTTGAAGTCTTATAATCTAAAGAATTTATTCATTTATTCTAACCACGTCCTCCTTATCATGCAAATATATCAACAGCTTGCCTCGACATACACCAACGGAAAGAGGAATTATTCAAAAACTGAATTACCCACCTAGGTACAAAAGAAACCTATATTTTGTCATAGAAGTGAATAAAAAACATGTCTTTTAACGAAGTTTGTAAGGACCACTGTTAATCAAGATGATGTAGACTGATTCACCACACACCCTCGCCTGTAATGAATCGTCGTCCCCAGAAATCGAAACATTACAGTGGGAGTCTAAAAATCCTGTTACTAGCAGGGATTTTAAAAACCATAGAAGCAAGACAAATAAGGAAAAGCACGTGACTAAGACGGGAGAGCATAAAAAAAAACATGACTAAAAGCCGCCTCTCTCTGCTGAGCGTGCACTTTGTTGCAAATGAAGTTAAAACTGAGTGTACGTTTTACCTCAAGTTTGACTTTCTTTCCCTGTACAGTTTGGTTCTTTTTCGCATAGGTGCAGTGTATCGGCTAATGCAAGTTTTAATTTTTGTCGTAGAACGCAAAACTCTCGGCCTGCTGGGAAATAGATTACTATTTAATAGCAGGAAAAGAACAGGAACCCCTGAAGATTTTGACAAAATGGTCCAAATTATACTAGAAAATTGAAGAGCTTTTTTATATGACTGTTTGGTCCTTTTTGTTACAACATGCAGTTGGCTTCTTTCCTTTTTCATTAAAGGGCATGGAAGAAGTTTGAATTTTTTTCACAGCCTCCAAACGTTTAAATGCCTCTTAGACCCCTCAACAAATGTTTAATTCTTTGTTCTTCCTGTAGCTCTATCTCTGTAGGTGTTGCGATCATGACTCTCTAAATTCCCACACCTTAATTATCGACCTCTAATACTTGAAGAGGCCTCTTCGATTCAATCCCAGCGCTTTTATGAGCATTTTGCATTCTTCTCTGAACCTAGCGTTCATGTATCCGAATATCAGAGGATTGATGATACTACTTAGCCCAACTAGGTACGTGGCAAAAAAGGTATCCTTGCCTGGGAAGATCAAATGCTCCATTCGCTGTATCTATAGCTGTGATCAGGGGCACCCAACGGCAATTTTCGGGAAAATATCTGTTCGGAAGACGATTTGAGATCTAGAATTTTCGGAACATTTGTTGTAAAATTTCTTGCTTGCCTACCTCTCCTAGGATTTTCGAACATCTACAAAATGGTATAATTACCCATTTTTAACGGATTTTGACCCTATAAAAAAGGCCACCTAGAATTTTCGGGAGCCTTTTCCTGGCTGAAATTTTCGAGAAGGAAAATTGTTATCCCTATAATTTTCGGATCACTAGACTTTCAGCTAGGAAATCCGAACAGATGAAAAGTTTTTAGGGGATAAAAATATGCCTATATCTACCGTTTGAATACTAAAATACGTTTAACAATGCTATGTTACGTGGTTTTGAACTATATTCTCGTTGGGTGCCCCTGTGTGATGATATAACGAGGGGTCCAGCATACAAAGAAAGCAAAAATAATAGCAAACAATGTTTTTGTCATCAAAATATCGTCAAGTGATAGCCTATTGCTTGATATAGAAGTGACAGTCATATCTGGCACATTGCCAAGGCGATGGACTTTAGTTTCCATGGTAATAGAATCGTTCGTGTTGCGGCGGAGGTCTGTTCTGACGCTGTGCACCATTTTTGAGTGCTTTTTGACGGAGCTGTATATTCGAAAATAGCAAAAAGCGACGATTACCGTGGGTAAGATTGTACAGAAACCAATTCTATAAATTGATTGTTTTTCTCTAGAATTTTCGATGGCATAAAAACAGATCATCATTCCTGGATGAAAAGTGAAAGTATGGCCTCTAAGAAGGTAAGGCAACGGAGTAATGATTGCACAAAGTGACACGATGATGATTGACAGCAAGGTATACTTCCTTACGAAAAGCTTCGAATAAATCCGAGGACGCAGTACCCGAACGTAGCGATTGATAGCCGTCAGTGGGAACATAAGTTGAGCGATATAAGCTAGCACGACGCAACAGAATGCTTGAAATTGACAAGCGGACCAAGAGTACCTCCACCCCCCGTAAATGCTGACATCACACATAAACGGCATCACCAGCCCAGCCGTGAGGAGATCGGTAAGAGCGAGTACGAGGACAAAAACACTTGTCATTCGTCGAAGACGATGGTTCTTGTAAGCCGCCCAGCACAGGACGCAGTTCAAAAACAAGGCTGCTATATTCAAAATCACACTAAGTAACGCTTCGACAACCACGGTAGCGTTTTGTCGACTTGAAAGAAGTTCCGCTAGGGTGCGAGTCTCTAACACGTTTTGCGACGTAACATTTGACATGTTTGCCAAAAGACGTTCTGTCACAGCAAAGCGTTTACAAAGTACAAAGTTTTCACTGAATCACCTGCAGTTCTACATATCTTCGGGAAATTAAAATTTATGATTGCATTCAAATTTCATTTTAAATTACAAGTCCGATCCTGCCCACGTCTTTAAAGCTATTGATAGCCTTAGCTTTGAACACTAGAAATACTAGAAAATACTAGAAAAAAATACTAGAAAAAAAATACTAGATTGAAATACTAGATACTAGATACTAGAAATACTAGATTGAAGTAAATAAGAGATTCGATGTCCGATTTTTTACATTCATGTTTTACTTTTAGGGATAAACCTTGTCAAAAAGATGTATAACCTTTTATTATGTTCAATCTGTCTGCCAGAACGACTGTCTCATTTTCCCAAGGACTCTGCAGCAATTAATGTACATTCATAGCTGGGAATTAAAATTCAATAGGTTTTAAATTGAAACAGATCCGGCATTTTTAGACTTAAAATAAGCGATAAGATCTGCCAAATAAGAGGCTGACAGCGTTTACAATACTAGTTAAATTACATCAGCATATTTTTTTTGGAACCCCGTTAATACGACCACCAATGCGCCAAAAAAATTTAGCCGTATTATTTACGAGCGTTTTTTTTTTTTTTTACATGAAAATGTTTGGCGATTTTAGCCAGGCGGCCAAAAAAAGTGGCGGCTTAATAAGAAGGTGGCCGTAAGGCGAGGTTTCACTGTAAACAAATTAACGAAACGCATATTTTCGAGCAAAGTATGGCCTTAAACGTGTTACTTAGGAACCTAAACTAATAACTAATTCCATTAATCACGTTTGGAGATCTTATTAAAGTGTTCACAAAATGATTATTAGACTCTATACCGACTGTCTGATTATTCATTACGACCATCAATAAACATTGATTGGAAATATTTTATGTTCAGCAATATAACCATCACAATTACCTCTTCCGTGTTTTGTTTGTTTCTTTGTATTTTGGTTGTCCGTTTATTTTATTTTTTGCTGCGACCCGAGCCTTCTTTTGTCTTCTTGAGTGGGGAGGAGAAAGGAAGCTTTGTGTGAATCACGTCAAGCCTTTGAGGTTTCCCAAGCCCGAACTTCAATCTTCATGTCCATCTTGTTTTGTATTTGCACACTTCTTTTCCCAGTGCGAGCATTTCTTTTATTGATAATCCGGTGATCATAACTGAACCCGCAGTGACATGCGCAAGGCTAATAAGCCTGGGTTCCAAACCATATCCCAGCAGCGAGTAGGCTTTTGTCAATTGTGCTCGCAAAACGAGCATATTATGCTCCTGGCATTGCTCAAAGTTTATGGAAATTATGCCTGAATTGTGCTCTTTTCTCTGAATTATGCTTCTCGTATTTAAATTATGCTGCTTGGTTTTAAGCGAAATAAAGGCTGAAAACCGGGTAAACACAAGTGTTCGACGAGGAGGACGCCATCTTTGATCTTAGATCCCAGGCAGCTCGCTACTGAGTCGTACGACTGGGGCCTGAAACCAAGAAACATGACAAGGACCAAACAAAAAAACAAACAAACATCGTTTATTTCAATCTTTGTAGTGGAATAGACTGAATTGTCAAGTGATAAAATCAACAACAATGATACTATATAATATAATTTAAAATGTAATGAAACTAATCTAAACATTTAAAAGTAATAAAATCATACGCTCTTTTGGTTTTGATGTAAGGGAGTAGATGTTTCTTGGTCGAATCTAATATTATGACTTATTGGTACACTATAACAACTTCATGACGAGCGCGCAGCGTCTATGCAGAGATAAACTTGCAACTTATAACAAGTCGTCTTACCTCAAGAAACCTTCTAGAAACACCGTTCAGTATAAGTGGAAGTATATTCAGTACAAAATTATGACGATTTTTCATAACGTGCTAGCAGTGCTTTTCTTTAAAAAAAACGCTAAAAATTATGTTCGTTCTGCCAAACTATGCTAAACATTATGCTAGCGCAATCGACAAAAGCCTAGCAGAGAGCCGCACATGCTCAACAAAGATCTTATTCTACTTATGAAGGGGCTTTCTCGAGTACTTAAAAATCGAGCGCGAGCGAAAGAAAGGCTCTGCTTGAGGGGCGTAAGATAGGGAAGCGAAACGAGCAGCTTTTGTCTTTCACAGGGTAGGTCATAGTTTGATTTTTCGGTGGTACACCTCTACCCAAACATCCCTTTACAATCAGTGATATTTATTTTTCCTTATTGCTACTGCTCTTTTAAAGAAATTGTGCTTTTAAAATACAATAAAACCCCGCAACTTAGAACTTGGATTTTAAGAACCAGTGTTAGGCTAAAATTTTCCAGTTAAGCCCCCTCTATATAAGAACCTATTTAGCCTAAAATTTGAGAAAGGTTCTCAGTTTTAAAATGTATGAAAAATGTTGTACACTTGGGCAAATAAGTCAACATTCAGAATCCTGTTTGGAGACAGGTGCCTTATCATTCCAACTACAAGGTAAGGGTATGCAGATATTATATGAGAAATAAGCTGAAGCACTAAATACTCTTAGCTATACTGTATTTTTGCCTTCAGAAAATAAGAATCTATTTTTTAATCAATAATAAGATCCTATAGCTATAAATAGGCTAAACTTGTGCTTACTCTTTATATAAAAACCTATTTAGGCTAACGTAGAAAAATGCGGGTTCCTAGTTGCGGGGTTACGTTTTACTGTATTTTACGCCATCCAGTACTGTATTCAAAATACTAAAAGAGCTAGCCGGGCCTTGGTGTATTCAAACCTTCAGAGGAAAACTCAGATAAGTGGACTATTAGTGCCTCTTAGCTTTGGAAAAAGCCTGTTTACTCATAAATGAAGGAGAAAAAAAGTGTCGGCGATTGCGATTTGTCCCCGTGAAGAGTCCTTAAAACGGAGGTCCGCCCAGCTGTAAGTTAAAATGAATACTACTTTCAATCAAACAGTTTTATGCTTTACCGAAATTGTGAGAGCATCCCGACGGAAAGGGCCAAATGATTTTGACGATTTTAATAAAGGAAAAAGAAAACCCGTTCTTAACCGAATTTTTCAATATCCAGGTGTGAGGACATAAATTTCAACAGTTAAACAAGGCCATCCATGATATGTTATAGGAAAAAACCTAACGAATCTTGCTTTCACCACTTGACTGAGTTTCTGTGTTACGACACTCTTCACAACAGTACTTGCTTGGAAAACCTGCAAGTGAGAAACAAATAGCCCTTAGCAGTATACTAGGGATGCTTTACCCCGTTTGTTTGAAGTCGAATTCATTAGTCGATGATGTCATAGCCCATAAGTATTTGTCAATGCCGGATCCAGGGGAGGGGCTCGGGGAGGGGAGCCCCCCCCTCCGTATTTTTACGCAAACTGAGGCCCTAAGGGCCGAAAAAAGATTTTTTGGAGACCGCCCCCTCGTTTTATAAGGGTCTGGATGCCCCCCCCCTTCCCTCCATCTCAAGGTCTGAATCCGGCACTGTTTATCTCATAAAGGAAATGAGTCAATGTGTCACGGCTGGCTAGTTCACTTTGTTTATAAACAAGCAAATTACGCGACATAATTCGCAAAGAAATTTGAGAAACAATTTTTGAATGACAAAATCTCTGCTTCTTGTAAAACAAATATATCTCGCAAAAACTATCTCAAACGTTGCAAACAACAAATATTAATTTTGGAAAAACCAGTGAGGCTAACAAGTTTTCAAACACCACACAATTACTTCTACTTCAATCTTCTGCATGTTTGTCCATCTGTGTGATCTCTACCTTCTCTTTTATTTACTTTGCTATTTATACTTCCTTTTACCATTGTGAGCGGTTCATTTTGATGTTTCACTCAATTTCGTGGCAGTTCCCAGTGTTTGATTTTTGACTGATTTGTCGGACGCAGCTTCAGTCTTAAAGATAGCGTCAGGTACTATTTTAAAGATGTTTTAACCAGTCTGGCGAGTTCTTAGTTATTTTCAAATCGCTGAAGTCATGGTTTCTTTTTAAACTGATTGCATTACGTCCTTGATTGTTCATGAAGTCACCTTTGATTTAAATAAATTCAAAGTCAATATGAGTCCATACTACTACTTATTTTGCATGTGTGGCCTCAAACAGCAGAAAGTAAAATCAGATCTCAACCGGTCAAAAGGTGGACAACACTATCTACCGGATAAACAGACATTTATCCACTGGACAACACAATTGGTTTCCCTAAATACAGTTACCCACTTGATAGCGATCTAGATCAGTTGAAGAGCGCTATCCAGCTTTGGGGCCTGCCAGCGCCGTGTACCGTAAACCCCCGCCCCAATTAACCCCGCTCAGAAAGTTCAGAAACGGCGGGAGAGGGTTTGGCTGCACATAAGCTAAGGAAAGGTGAAAGTTACACGAACACTTAGTTATAGTTTACCTTTTTCGCTTTGTTCTCCTCGTACGTGTTCCAGGTTAATCCATCCACTGAAAGTCGTAGGTAATACGTTTGGGTATACTCGCCAGTGTTTAAAGTTTGCGTGGCTACTGCACAAACAGAATGCACTACGCCCATATCAACTTGAAGATAGTCTGTCCTGTCACTAGTGGTCCTTGGACACCATCTTTGGTTACCTCTTTTTGTATTGACCCTTCCGTAGTACGGTTGATAACCCGAACTGTAAACTGTGCTTGCCGTCATTGTGGCATCTGGTATCTTTTTTGGGTCCGTTACCTCTACAGCTTTACATGCTACAATCCAAATCCAAATCAATCCAAATCATCTTCGACTAGTATAACGTACATCTCTATAAAAATTTAAAAAAAAAACTTTTCTATTCTTTCGCAGACTTTAGTAAAAATATACAGTTTACACAAATTAAGGAGAAACTTATTTACAAATCATTTGCAAGTGTCATTCCTTTTGATCAATTTTAAGCGTAAACTATACGATTTTAGAAGGAATCTTGCCCGCGGTAGCATTTCGCCAGTACGATCCTGTTAACATGAATGGAAATACAGCTATTTCGAGAAAGGTTGTCGGAGAAAAATGTGCACGCGACAATCCCGAAAGGTATATGGGATCATCCGATTATCAATACACTGTTCCTGATAGTGTAGCTGTCGAACTTAGTTTTGTTGCTTTCCTTTACCACTTTCAAACATGAGTCCATGACCTCTCGTGCCATTTTTCCAATTTTCTTTGAAGAACAGTGAACTCAAAACCACCCACAATACCTTTCGGGATGGTTGCGTGCACTTTTTCCGACAACCTTTCTCGAAACAGCTGTATACGAAATGACTCATATGGTGAACTCCGGATGAAGATATGAAAGTGGAAATGATTCTCACATACAGTTGAATAAACAACAACTTACAACAACAATGTGTTTAATTAAAGAACATAACATTTAATTTACAATACTTATGTGCTGCAAATAGTTATAATGCTAATCTAGGCAGGACAACAGCCTATTGTAAGTGGTTGAAAAAGAACCTGAAAAAATTAAGGCTTGACTGGGAAAATCGATCGAATCCTGACCTTTGCGATAACCGGACGCAGTTTAAAATATGAGTCATTTCATATATTTCCACTCATGTAAATCTGAGGATAAGTAAACTAAGGTAATGTATGTATGTTATGTATTCCTGCATCGGGTATATTACTGAAGAATCCACAATGGCCTGCTCTCGAGTTGGCTTGCATGATTTAGCTTACTGGATTGTAACGAGCGTTGCGTTCGGTCAGGCCAGGGTTCAATCGTTTAGGTTGTTTATTCAACTGCGAGAATCCTTTCCATCTTCATACGATCCAGTGAATTTTGCAATGGGGTTTGGGCTACGGAAGGGAACTCGGTAACATGTTCACCTTTTTTCAACCCAACTGAATTTTAAGCGATAGCCTGTAGTGAGACAACGATGCCGGTGGGAATCAACAATTATTTAAAGCGAACTGTGGATGCTGTTATTTTAAGGAAGTACCTACCCATTAGAACTTCACACCGTTTTCCAGTCCAGCCACTTCTACATTCACAGCTGTAGTTTCCTCCGCCTTCTTCATGACAGGTTCCTCCATTAAGGCATGGACTGTAATAACAGGCTGGAAACAAGAACCGGCGACAACCAGAAACCGTAAGCAGTTATAAAGATATATAAGAAACAGAACAGGGTAAAAGTACCCATGATGAGTTAACTAATAAAAATACTTTCATTTACTTACTAAATGATGAAAACAAATGCAATAACCTAACAGACGGCTTCATCAACGGAGAGACAATCAGCAAGAACGATTTAGGAGAGTTGGTGAGTTATATACAACGACTTATCTAGATCTGCAAAATAGTTTAGTTAGAGATTTATTGATTTAAACAGTTATGAATAGCAAAAACATAATTTATTAATAACCTAATAGAGAAAATATATAGAACGACATAGAAAACGTTACAATCTTTATTTAAAATTAATGGAACCAGGCCTAAGTAAACTTCACCACTTATTTTAAAAAGATCTGCAACTGAAGTCGTTCGATGCACGCTCTCAAGATGATTTTCAATTGTTATAAACAAACTAATGTGAATCTTTAGCTAATATACTTTGACTATTTTGATCAATCTCGGAAGATTTTCCGGGTTACTGATAAAATAGACGTACAAACCTTCTTGCTGTACAATCAAGTTCATGGTGGCCTTTCTTATTCCCATGCTGTTTGTTGCTATGCATTGGTACAAACCGCTGTCCACTCGACGCAGGTTACTTATAGTGAGGTTACCCGACTTCACCTCGGTTCTGTTAGCTGGAAAAGACATAATCACTCTGACCCAGGTTACCTTGGGGGACGGAAATCCTTCTGCCCTGCAAGTTTCTTGTATTGAGGTGAATTCTATTTTTGTGACCAGAAGCGGGGGTGCTCTAGTAAAGATCGGAAGACCTGAAAGACGAAAAGAAAAATGAAAATCAGTGAAAATCATAAATTGAATGATGATGACCATGCTCACGAAGACGACAATGATGATGACGATGATGACGACGACGATGATGATGATGATGGCAGTAATAATTTCAACGCCCATTACAGCCGACACCAGTTTAGAGTTTCTGCCCTGTCTCGTTTCTCAGACGTCATTTCGCGGGGAAACCGGTCGCGAAATGTCTGCTGTTTTTTCAGGTTAAATTCAAAGCTCCTCTTAACAGTTACTTTTTCGTTTATTTTTCTTTTACAGTAGACGTGCTCCACATTACATTTTCCAGCCGTTATTGTCTGGATTTTTTCCTTTTTTGGGCTCTGTGTCGTGTCACAAGTGGACTCGGCTCAATTTTCATGAGTCAGTGTAATCAATGAAGTTACAACACTATCAGCTAAAAAGCCTCAGGCACGATCACAATTTGCCTATTTTATCTAATTTTAATTACTCTTTTCCTATTTGAAGTGCTGCTTTCGTTTGTTCCCCTGACTTACTTTAATTATTGTACTATTAGATAGTGACGACCACAGTCAGGAGAGTATTAATCTGCCCCTGACCATAACGAATGATATCAAGGGTGCACTAACGGTAGTTTCTTGCGACAATGAATTGTGCTCTTCCTAGAAAACAGCGTTAGTTTTTTCCTTATCCCTAACAGTCAAATTTCCACTGGCCCCAGACGATCCAAGAATACTTGTCGCGACACATGCGTACTTTCCAGCATCGCTGTGATTTATGTTTTTGACTATTAACTCTCCTTTCTTAATCAAATACTTTGCACCTGACAAAAGCTTTTTGCCTTTGAATCGCCATTCGACACTAGAAGTAGGATTTCCTCCAACCGTGCAATAAAAAGTCGCATTTCCTCCCTCATCTCGTGTCCGCTCTACAGGTGACAACATCACTTGTGGAGCAGATATCGATTTTCCAGGCTTTCCAGGTGGTCCCGGCATGCCTTTTGGCCCAGGCTCTCCTTTATCTCCCCTTTCTCCTCTCGGTCCTGCAGGACCCGTTAGTCCTGTTTTTCCGGATTTTCCAGGAGGTCCCATGGGACCTTGAGGACCTTTCTTTCCCTTTGGTCCCCTCGCTCCAGGGGGACCAGGATATCCTGGGGGACCTGCAGGACAGACTTTCTCATTTGACTGACAGTACTTGGTAGGCATGAGTTGTTCAAACTGTTTGCTGATTTCTTCTCGCACTTCATTTATGGTTATGGTAGCTGAAGTTACGTTCGAAACCGTTCTCCGGTTTCTAGGCTTCGCGTTTGCTCTGAATTCCCCTGAATCGGAAGAAAAGAAGCTATTGATGTTTATGTGTTAAGGTTCAGAAATCATTTAAAACTCTATCTGCATTTGATCCCAAAAATATGATTCAAGTACTCTTAATAATTCATAAAGAAAAAACAAAAGAAATTAATGTTTAATGAAGGCCAGTTATACTCTGATAAAGACAAGACTAAACTTAATTTCCATTTTTTTTAGACCAAAATAATCCCAAACCTAAATATTAGTGCGCAAGTATAAGTTGATCCATATCAGAGATTTTGAAGCCTTTCAAAACAAATTGCAGTCGTGTACTATTGCGATGTACAAATTGTACATCGCAGTGTTACGTCGACGATACCAAACTTCTCATGTCATTTCAACCCCGCGATCAGCACGAAACGATAGAAAAAATGAACAAGGACTTGTTAAGCATTAGGAATTGGTGCTTTGATGATCAGCTTTTACTCAACCCAGATAAAACAAAACTAGTGATATTCGGCAGCCGGCAAATGACTGCTAAGGTTAGCGACTTTAGGCTATTTCTATTGGGGAAGGAACTCGAGCCCGTTAAGGCTGCAAGAGACCTTGGTGTCACACTGGACTCTAACTTAACATATAATGAGCATATTGTTTCTACTGTATCCTCATGCATGTCACGTTTGGGCCAAATTAACCGCGTTAAGCATATTTTTAATAAACACGCGCTAATTATTATTATAAATGCCTTAGTATTTAGTAAATTATTCTATTGCTCTTCTGTTTGGAGCAATACTACTCAAACTAATCTGGACAAGCTCCAAGCAGTACAGAATTTCGCTTGTCGTATTTTGAGCGGCGCTAAAAAATTCGATCACATAACTCCTTTGCTAAAAGACTTGCACTGGCTACCAATCAGGCAACAACTTTATTTTCGTTTTGCTGTTCTGGTTTTTAAGTGCATGACAAGTTGTGCTCCGGAGTATTTGACATCAAAGCTCGTTGGAAGATCCGCCGTCTCGACAAGGAATACGAGAAATTCTCAACTTTTGAACATACCACTCTTCCGCACTGCCAGCGGCCAAAGGACCTTTCAATATCGAGCGACCTCTCTCTGGAATGAGTCGCAGCCTGCGCTCAAACTTAGCCCATCCGTGATGGAATTCAAGTGTTTACTCAGGCAAAAGCTTCTTAATGACTGCTTTATTTAATTAATTTAATTAATTTTATTGACCTTTGTCTTCTTTTATCATTGTTATATTCTTATTGTCATGTACTTGGTTTATAATTTTGTAATGTAAAATTGACTCTGAAAAGCCCCGTGGGGACGAGCCAATAAAGTATGTATGTATGTATGTATGTACTATCAGGTTTAAAAGCTCGAGATATACGCTACTGCTCGTCATTTAAACAGTACTTTAAAGTTAATTAGTTAGTTAATTGATCGACCTCTGACTGCTCTCTGAGCTTAAGCAGTTTCAGTTGAGGAGGAATATTCACCCGTGGCAAATCAGGGCCTTCCTAAACCATTCTCTAAACTTTTCTGTCAGTCGCATTTCTACCCTCGCTGCATTCTCTGAAAAGCTTCTGAAGTTACCATGAAGCTGATATAAATTAAGCCATTCGTACTTTCGTACTATCCTATAGTCAGTTTATATTTGAAATATCCTGATAAAGCAATGGAATCTAAATTACACGATCGAGTGTTGAAACTCGAGTAAAATGCCCAGTGTATCAATTGAACTTGTTTAACCCTGAACATGAACTAACTATGGTCGATCAAACTTACTTTCATTATCAGCCGTAGTTGTCTTCAACTTGTTTAAAGGATGTCTGGCGGATTCTTCTGTTGGCATAAGTGTCGTTATTTCATGGTGTTTCAGCGAGCTGCCAGTCTTAACAATGATCTCCAGAGGAAACATGTTAACACGATTTTCAAGGACAGTTAGTCGCTCGTTAGTTGTTTCATTCTTCACCCAGAGACATCCGCAAGCAAAAAATAGCATCACAGACAGAAAAGATGGCTGAATGGATGGAAGACAATCATGTACTCGCCGAGATTTCGAAGAGTTTGAGGAATCCATTTCTGCCAAGTTCAAATCGTTTTCCAATTCCCTCAGAGATACAGGAAGACGGACTCAGTGGAAAAAAGCCAAAAATTTGATCCTGGTATAAACAAGTGCATTCATTAAACGATTATTTTTGTTTTCGTATGTTCACGTACTCTCTTGTTGAGAGCACAGAAATGTCACGAAAGGAAACCTTTATACGATGGAGTGGTTTTTAATTACCTGCCATAATAGCAAGCCAATCGGCACGCGTGGCCTCAGAGTATTACTGTGAACAGGCGTGTTTTTTAGGGGGCTTAGGTGGGATGGTGACGGTGGTGGTGGTAGGGAGAGGACGAGTCCGCGACGGTTAATTTGTCGCGGCACTGACGAGTTAACAGGAGACAGGGGCACGGGTGATCTAGACACACAAGGAAGTTTTACCTTCCCCCCTTCCCATTTCGTCATTTCGCCACCTTCACGTTTTCTCACAAAAACAAAGGAACCGACAGGTTGAAGGAAACTCTGGGAACAAAAACCCTACAGGAGACGTTTGGGGTTTCTCATAACCTACCCTGCTAGGAAGGTTCCGGTTGGATTTGAGGGATGATGTATTCAACGGTCGCCTAATATGCTTACCCGAATATCTGCCCGGGCTTCTCGATTTTTGCTGCTAGACTGTCACATTTGTATGAAGAGGTCTCTCTGTAGCAATCATATCTTACTTATAACTCTTAAGAACATAAATGTGATATTCCACCTTGTTGGAACATACTGTGTTAAGTTTGTTTATTGATGCTCATGATAGTTCGATTTTTACAAATTGAGGGTGGTGACGTGGAAGCTTATCTCTCTATTCTACACACCTTAACCGCGATTAGAAAAGTCATTTACTGGGTTGCATTTCATAATTGTAACTGCTCAATATATCAGAGCTTTGCAGGTCTGTGGTTCAGCTTCAGATCTGATTGCTTTGGTCCGAGCTCTGGCTATTGGCCCATATCAAGTGTTTTCAGTTGGTATTCTTTTTTTACTTTATATGTAATTTCCCATTTGTACATTTTTTAAGACTTGAGCTTTCACAACACACTACAACAAGCAAGTAATTAATAAGCCAATATAGACAATTCTCAGAAGTACAAAAATCAGGTTAAAAGCTAACAATCGCGCTAGTAAATTAAGTTACGCAGCAAAATCATTTCTTTCTTAAACAAGTTGTGGAAACAATGTGATGATAACGTATTTGCTAGAATAAAATACCAAATTCGATTAAGCGCCACATTTAGAACAAAAAATTACTAAGCGCCGCCCTCGAATAAGCGCCGCATTTGAGGCGCGAAAAATTTAATAAGCGCCGCGCCGCTTATTCGAGTAACTACGGTATTCATGTTTTTCACGTTCCCGTCCATGGTATGTTCCGGCCCGATGGTTTTCTGCTGGAACCGCTAACAAGGCATGAAGAATACCTAAATACAACGTACACGTATCTCTCAGAGAAATATAATTATCTCAGCTCTCCATTCAGGGAATGAAGATGGGTGAATGGACAACCATCTTAAGGAGAGAAAAAGTACGAGTCCTTCAAAGTGCAGAAACCGAGTCAAGCTCACGCTATATGGTCAATTAGTCTGTGCACCTGTGCGCTTTTATGTGCTCCAACATAATGCATACCTAAACCGTCCTTATAATCATGCAACTACAGTCAACTCTAATTTGCTCTAAAGACAACTCGATAAAACGGACAGCAGCTGAAAAGAAATACAGAGGTATAACTAAAAAAAGGCTCCTGGTATTTCATTTTCATTGAGTTATTGCAAACTTTTGCTCTGCAAAATGATAACTTTTTTGTTATTATTTTGTACTTTACAATACGCCAATTCCTACAATGTTTTACTACGTAGATCAAGTAATTATATAACCCATCACAGGGAAACAGGCTGTGATCTCGAGCTACTGTTATGGCTATGCTCACACTATATAAGATAACTCTTGCACAAGCACGAAAAGCATACTGCTAATACCGGATATGGCTTCTGTTCACTGATAAAAACGGGGGTTTCGGTGCGATTTCTGTTACAACAGAGTGAAGATGCGCTGCGCCTATCTCGAAAGTGGAGCGTTTCATTATCGTATAGGTTCTGTGCCACACTATGGTGCAGTGTGAACAGATATCGGAACCGTAGCGAAAGTGAATAAGTAGTAGAGAGGACTGGAATCTACTGAGACGGAAGTAAATATTCAAGAGTGAAGACCGGGATTTATCAGTTCACCACGACCCTCTCGGCCAGCCTCTCCAGCACGGGCTTCAATGTGTGTGAACGACTTGTTCCAATCCAGTTCTGTGCCATTGCTGTTCAGTCTATATTGGGTAGCCATCCTGTATAGTGTGAACATAGCCTAATTAAATCACGAGGACAGTACGATCTAGTATTGCTAGGCCGCTATGTGAACATTGATTTTACAGTCATTATTCTGCGTTGCTGTACAGAATTCACCCTTCCTTTCTCACATGGTTATTCCGCTTTTTAGCATTGAGAGGAACGGAAAATTAAAGCTGGTATTTGACCTCCGGACTGGCTAGAACCATTTGAATCTTTTGAGGATTTAGACTTGAAGATTACTGTGACACCAGAACACAAGGTACTTGCCAAGCCGTTCGTGAGATGAAAGGAGCGTCTACTTGTAACTATTCTGGCTGTTGCGGTGTATGTGACATTAGCGCGGATCGAAATCACTTGGGAAAAATGCACCTCAAATGTCTTGACACTGGAACTGGTAGCACGGGAACCAGTCTCCTCTGCGATTAAGCTGCTGCCACGGTACAAGCGAATGGTGACCTGGAAACTAGTTGAACCGCTGTTAACTCCCCACAGACGGTACCCTGACAAAATGACGTCACCATTTGTCTGGAAATCGATTGCGTCAACACGGTCACTGCCACTGGGATCAGAAGAGTATCCCCAGCCACTGCCATGACTTTCGGACCCGTTGCGCCAGCACTCACAGGGTTTTAATGCTGTGGGGATAAAAAAGAACCATCTCTTGTAAAATCTGTTAGGGGAATAAATTTTTAATTTTCTTTTTCTATAGCTGGAAGTAATGAAAGTTACAAACTTTATTTTCGAATTCCAAAGACTCCCACTTTCAAAACGAAATCGTTCTCATGAAAAGAGTTGTATTTGCATGGCTTCTCAAGTGCCTCTCTTTTAACTAGAGGCTTGGGGGACCGTAAATGGCCTATTAAGGAGTACCAGGGTACTGAAATGTGAAAGATAACTTAACATGAAAGGTACCTTTCTAATTATAGTTTCCCACCTGTAGGTCAGTTTTTTTTTTTCTAGAATTTATTAGGACCAATCAGATCTAAAAAGAGAAAAAGAACACCTTTTGAGGTCTTTGGAAAGAGTTTATATACAAGACGTCCTTCGTCTCAGCGGAGACACTTTTGCTAACTTCCTTTATTTTGCTAGCTCCTGATCGAGCTGCTGGGTGAATTCTGAGAAGTACAGTGGAACCTAGATGTAACGTCAAGGTGAGGAGACTTCCTCTTTTTGTACAACATTACATCACAAATAAAATCTGTATTTGCAAAAAAAGACTTTTTCTTAGAAATCGATTTTGAGATAAATATTAGCGATAAAAAATCACGACGTTTCGACCTCTCCGAGGTCATTTTCAAGTGTATAAAAGTTCTCTAAATTAGCATAAATAAGTTTAAAAAGGAAACCACCTCAGAGAGCAGCATGATATGGAGCCTGAACACATCACACAAAGTTTTAGAATCTTAAGAAAGTGTCAGAACAAATTTGACTGCCTTATTTTTGAAATGTTTTTTATCCAAGAACTGAAACCGACGCTTAACAAACAGTGCGATTCAATTCGCGCCAAATTATTTGTTTAGAGTAGTTCTTGTTAACAGGGGTCTTTTTTGCATGAGCATGCGCAACCGCTGAACAAGCGATGTGCATGGAGGCTCACCACAGGGTTTGCCTTCATCAAAGTGGTGCGTCTCAAAGCTATCATAGCGATTATTTGCTCGTTGGTCTTGGCGAATGTGCTCGTGATTTAACAAAATGTGTACTTTCCAAAAAAACTCTAACATGGTCTTAACAAAAGCGAAGTAGACCGGCTTTAACATACACGAGTTACTATCAAATTTCATCTCCCCACTTGACCTGGACAACAGCGCGCGTATATGTAGTGCCTGCCTGGAGGATTGCGCTGACCTCATCACGGTCTAAACAAAGTGCAGAAACGTTTGTTGATGCAAGTAAACACTTTCAATTTTCTTTGTTTTGAAATGGGAAAGGAAGAGAAATATTTAAAAAAAAAACATAGCAAGTTTCAGCGAGTGGGTTCGAAGTGCGCGAAAGCCGATGTTCAGTTCAGCAGTGAATTAATATATGTTCTACAATTTTCCCAGCACTTTAAAGCTACAAAATTAATAGCACACGAGACGTAGATTAGTCACCTGGTGAGATGTTGGTGGTAGTCACTCTGTATGTCTCGAACAATAAAAAAAATGAATATCAATGATATACAGTTAAAACTGCATTCAATAGGACCGAAATTAAAGTCCGATCTTGCGACCGATTTTGATGAAACAAACGGTTAGGTTTCCCAAGAAGTACAGTAAACATGTGATGCCGACCAAAAGTTAAAAATCATTAGAACATTTAAGTTCTGGCCAAAAACAAATTCCTGTAAAAGATGCGTTACAATGTTAGTCCACGCAAAAACAAGAAGTTCTACAATTTTCCTATAAACAAGCTTTGTATCGCTAAAATACTTAAGGCAAAAACTTTCTATTCCAACTGAAAACGGCGTGGTAGTCGCCCGATAATAGTTATTAATCCACTCCCGAAATATGGCTAAATCAGCTATTAACAAATTATTGACAGAAATCCTCTGCGGCATGGAGAAACTGATTTACATCCGATTTATAGACAAACAATAAATAAAGAACATTTTGCTCAATAGCTACGCATCAGCAATGCATTCTATGCCAAACTTTGCGGCTCTTAAAGGGGAATCAAGACACGAGTCGAGCGCCAAACAACAACAAGCAGCCACGTTCGTGTCAGACATCCTTGAGAAACTTGCTCTTTCACCTCGTTCAGCGCATCAGTCTCCACTTTAAATCAACAGATCTTTACTTATTTTGTACAACGAAGGTCTTTCCTAAGTTCCCGCTACCATTTCAATCTCGAGCAAGCTTTCAAAGAGGACAATTTGGTTCCTATGACTATGCAGCACGGTCGCTGTCACTGGTCGCGTTCTCTTTGACAAGTCAGCGGTCGCGCATGCTCATGCAAAAAAGAGCCCTGTTGTTCTTGTTAACATTGTTTTATTTGCATTGTTTTTTGACTTTATAAATATTTTTAGCACTTTTTACATTTTTACATATCTTATCACATTTTAGCGTTCACCACATTTTTATCTATTATAACTTGTTTTTTAACTTATTTATGCTAATTTAGAGAACTTTTATACACTTGAAAATGACCTCGGAGAGATCGAAACGTCGTGATTTTTTATCGCTAATATTTATTTCAAAATAGACTTTTTCTTGTTGCGTAAACATTATATTTTTTTTGTAACAGATTTCTGCGTTGTTTATCAAATGGGATAGTGAAAAAAATTCTCTTTAATAAGCCTACATTTTGGGCAAATAACTTCAGTTTAAAAAGAATGCGTTTGGATCCTGCAGACTCCGCAAAAAACGTAATCATCAAGAATAAATAATGTTTATTTTTTGTACATTGTTGACAAAGCATAATGTCAGAAGTGTTAGGCATTATTATTAAATTTTCAACAACTACTTCCAATAGTGCATTTCTGGCATTCTTATTGGTTCACTCTATCTATCTCGATTACCAGCTCAATACTTTACTTCAATCTTATATGGAAAAAGATTACGCTAAGTGTTGCCAAGCTCAAAGTTTTTCGCCTGGAAGCAAAATTTTACTATGCATTGACTGATATAATCAGTGATAGCTTAAATATACTTCAAGTAATACACTTTGTCAACAAGTGTGAAGCAATTTCTTCTACAGAGCGACTTAGGATTTTCAAGTAAACTTGGATCAAGTGCTTTGACTTAAAACTTCTACGGAATTAACCTTAACAGTTGCTTAGTTCTAGTGTGGAAGCCAACAATTATCAACAGATTTCCTTAGCGACTAGTACTATCTTATTTACGTGCCCGGTGCTAAATCATTCGCTCCTTCGTCGTTGCTGTCAAAGGTATTTTCATTATGACAAATCATCCTGCTCTTATCGGTTGTTATTATCTATGGCTGGTTAATTGTTTCCCCTTAAATTTATTCCTGTATAGTAGTTCATCATGTATTCATGCAGGTTCTCTCCAAATAAGCAAATTTATTTCTTAAAATTTTGTGCTGCCGAGTGATCTTCCACGATCTCCATAGCCTTTTTCATTCCATCATTTCTGTGTAATCAACGTTAACTCCATAAATCCATGATACCAATTTTTCGACCATTTTCCTCAACTGGGCAGTCGTCCGAGAATCTTGTTCCGTGGGATGCCTGTGGCACTCCCACGGTAAAACTCCGGTTCGGTTGTACCCAAAATTGCAAAGCCAGCCAATAGGATTGCGTAAAACCTTTATCGATTATCTCTTCTTCGAAGCCGACCAATCAGATTGTACAAAATCTGTATCGATTTTTAATCGATTTGCTTCCTCTAAAGAACGTTGAAATCAGAACGTTTCTTGCCAAATTTGTCGCGCTTGAGTTTTCCCACTCGTGGTTTAGGATGGCTTGTTAACCAGCGAAATCCTTCGGGATACTGGCAAGTCACGAAAGGCAACCTAAGCCAAATTATTTCTTTCCTTCATTATTCTTTTTTGTTCAGGTCTAGCTTTTTCATGAGGTTTTAGTAGCGTCTGGTTGCGGGCCGTGATTTCCGATAGATTTTTCTAATCGGAGTTCGCCAGTTTTTGCCGAGCGCAGCTAGAGTTCAGTTTTTTTCTTTTCTTATCTAAAACACCTTGACGATGGGAGGTTAAATCGCGTAAATTGCAACTCGCACCCTTGACGATTGGCGTTGAAATCGCGAAAATATTGTCCTCCTCGATCGACGACTCGCTTTCGGCATGGATTGGACTTCTGGATGGGACACGGATCAGGATATGAGTAAACTTATTATACCTTGGAATCAGGGATAATCATTGGAACTATGTTAGCTTTGAGACCTTGGAAACACATTGCAATTAATTTTTAACCGTATCAAGAGGACCCAAGAGCATCTTGGAATATTAAACTTTCATCTTGGATTAAAACATTGGAACTTTATCGAACTTTGTAACCCTGGGTTCGACCTTGGATAAAGCAAGCGGATGTTTTGTTTTGTTTTGTTCCATTAACCTAGATAGAACGCCATTATGCTTCCATGGACCAACGCATCCCACGGAAACGACTTTAGGCGTCTTGTTAAAGTTTAGCTTCATTTCTACTGTTGATTAAATCAATGCACATTCGGTCCGTCCATCTTGTTCTTCCCTATGGTGTAATCTCCCTCCAGTCATTTCGTCCAGCTTTCGCTTTACATCTGTTACATCTCTTATTATCTATTATGGCTAAAGGACTGGTTATCAATGGTGGAATCGCCCGTTAAAAATGGCGACGATCGTTTAAAAAAGGGAAATAGGCATCGCCGTCCCTGGATCTTATGGTTGCGCAGTGAATAATTTGGATTCTTGAATTCCCAGCACCCAAAAAACTGTCAACCAGAATGCGGTGCGGGATAAGCAGACAATTCTTAGCCCATTTATTGAACTAACCAACTAATCGCAAAACAAAAACAACTGTTTACACTGCTTAGACACAAAAAAATAGCTAAAAAATCAAACAAACTGTATACTTTTGATCCGGCCAAAGCAAATGAATAAACAAAACCACTTAAAATAACTGTCAATCATCAGGAAAACACAACTAAAATCGTCACGAGGAAATGGATTACAGGATTTCAATCAAAAAATAAAAAAGAACA